CTCCTTCCTTGCCTGTCCCTTCTGAAGAGTTTGTAGCCATCCATCACAGCACTCCAGTCATGGGAGGCATCCCACCACATTTCTGTGATGTCGACTACATCATAGCCATCCTGCTGCACAATGGCTTCCAGCTCCTCCTGTTCGTTGCCCATGCTGTGTGCATTAGTGTAGATGCACTTGAGCTGGGCTATCGGTTTCACCCCCAGGCTCCTCTCTAGCGAGCCTGTTTATATCACCTCCCCCCTTCAGGCCTACTTTAAAGCCCTCTCAACAAGCCCCGCCAGTTCATGAGCGAGGATCCTTTTTCCCTTCTGAGACAGCTGGGTACCATCTGCTGTCGACAGGCCCGGTGCTGTGAAAACCTCTCCATGGTCAAAGAACACCAAGCCAACCCCAATGTTTACCTACGCTGAAGCATCTACTCTGTGAGAGCTGTTGTAGGATGACCCAAGAAAACGAAATATGCAGCTGATGGGGCAAGCAAATGCCAGCTTTGTTCAGAGCCAGGATGAAGTGAATAAAACATCCTGGGCACACTGAAATCAGCTCGAAAAGCTGCTGGCAGTTTTGACAGAAAGGCGAGCCCTTACCTGCCCGCTGGAAATATTCACCATGGTGGAGCAGCCACTCCAGTGGGAGCTGCAGCTGAACAGGAGGGGCAGGAGCTACAGTGGCACTGTGATAAACCAGGGCACAGTGCTATAAACCACGGCCCACTGCTACCAATGTCATGAAAGTCAAGGCTGACTCAAAGTACTTTGGATCTTTTAGTTATTTTAACTATTACGCCTAGCATTTCTTCATCATAGCTGTTTCCCTGAATGAAACCATTTTGCCCTCACATATCAGTCGTAGTAGTACTTATTTTTAAAGTGTGTAATTTTTTGTGGTTTTTTTAACTTTTGTTATCACTAATAGTAAATAAACTGAAAATAACTGAAATGTTTAGCACTGAAATATTAGTAACAGCTCCCTCTGGTGGCTAATTTATAAATGGTAATCTTTAGATCTTCCCCACAAGGAGTTGTACCTGTAATTATAATGCTGAATATTACAGAAATGGCTGAAGATCCTTTCTCCACTGAATTTTTTAAACTACTGTGAAATGCATAGATATATTTTCTTAATCAGAACAAAAATTCATGTAGTAAAACCTGTTAAACATTGAAGGAGGAAAATGCTTATAAACAAGTACTGTCTACAAGTAGAAAACAATTCAAAAGAGTCAATGATATGGGTAAAATTAAAGATAGAAATACATAAAGGTAACTCAAGAGATAAAGATGCTAAGACCCTTACGGATGCACTGGATGAAATCTAGAAACTAGGGGACATTAACCTGCTCAGTGGGTAAAACATACATATCTTTTCCTAATCCTTTGTTGTTTTGATCTCATCATTTTAATTGGATAATTTAAGTCTGTTTATTTTGCACAGGCTCTATGGTTTTAATCAGACATACTGTGTTACTTATCAAGAAATCCCAAGAATGACTGTTTACCACTTTGTCACAGGTATCTTCCATTTAAAAGTACCTGAGTCCTCTCACGTTGGTTCTGCTATTGGAAGGATCAGAGCTGTGGATCCTGATTTTGGGAAAAATGCAGAAATTGAGTACAACATAGTTCCAGGAGATGGAGGAAACTTGTTTGACATCACAACAGATGAGAACACCCAGGAAGGAGTCATCAAACTGAAAAAGGTATGTGGCACTGATGGGGTGTATGTACCTATGATTGACATGAGAAACTAGGTAAGAGAATTAAATGTTGTGCAATTATACCTCATAAGTAACATGCAGTAGTTTGTATCTTTATTAGAATCCATGGTTGTGATCTTAGTCTTAAAAGAAATTGGGGTTTACTGTTTTATTCATCTACAATCGGGTATGACTTTTCACAAATAATGTCAGTTTTAATGGCAGAGAAATAATTCCTATCTCTTTCTAGAGAGTATAATTTCTCTTTTATTGGAAGTTTTTGTCTAAAAGTGCTCCAGTTCAGAGCATGGAATGAAAGAGCTGCATTTTATGTTTGAGATAATACATTTCATTTTCACTTGTAAGCATTCTATTTTGAAAATTCTAATTTTATGTTATTTTAACAATGAAACTGTTGTGTAGTACTGTGGTGAACAGAGTTTTTACTCAGGGTAGAGGATTCCCAAGTGGCTGCAAATCAACATGTCCTAGTTCCAGTCTCCTAATACTGTCCCAAATAGCTGGTTGTCAGATATTCATGCAAGGGAGCACACTGCATCTCAGCTGTTGATGTTGCTTTAGTGTACCAGAATAAGTTTAAATTTACTGAATTTATGAATTTCGAAGATTGAGAGGATAAGTGTTATTTGGAATTTAGTGATTAAAGCACTCAGTAGGAGAGATCCAAAACAGGGACATCCACATTTTAACCAGAGGTTGTCTTCTGAGCCCAGGCACATATATGCACACCAATGATCAACCTGTTTGGTAGAAAGAAATCTGAACCACCAGCTCATTCTGAAAGGCGAGGTTATGTTTTATAGACAGCTCACGCTTGTAGGTGTAATTTGTATAAAATAAACCCACCTATGAGCTGAACACTTGCAAGGGTCTGGGAAGGAAAGAGTTCTGGACATGTGTATTAAGACAAGCTTTAGGAAAAGAGAAGCTTTAGTTCCAATAAAATTTAGAATTTAGGTACTTACATTTTCCCGGGCTCTGACCATGGATCTATATTTGCATTATACTCATACTAACAAGGAAATTCCTGTCTTCAGATTCTTGACCTGGGATATAGCAAATTATCCATAGGTGCTTTAAAAGACCCGATGATGTCAAATCACTTATTCTTCTGCTAGTTTTAGTGACATAAACCAGAAGCTACGATACCCACAGGAAGTACTTTGTCAGTGAGACACAAACTCTTTGCATTCTTCACACATCCCCTTCTTTTCTGACTAAAAGTTTGAATGTACTGCTTCCACCTTATGTGAATGTGTAAACTTTGTTTCATTTCTAAAAATCGCTCTGATCACCTTTTTCCCTCTATGCAAATGACAGAAAAATAACTACATCTGGAACTGTTCGGCTGAGCAGCTGCACGCCCCTCCGTATGCACTGCCAGTCAGAAACGGTGATGAGTGGGAACCATTGAAAAATGAGTGAGCATCCAAAGTAGATTTTTTGATAGGATTCAGTTCTCCCTGGATTAGTCCTACGCCTCATCTGTGCTGCTTGTTTTTATACACAACAATGAAATTTTTCCATACTTATGGTTGACTGTGTATATATATATATATATATATATATATATTTGACTGTATAGGCAAAATATTCAAATTGGCAATGAGGATTCAAACAGCATGCATATAATACTTGTTACTGAAGAAGAGTGTCCATGTATGAATTTGCCTGATACAATTTTCTTAAGACCAGCACAGACAAAATGCCTGGCCACTTTTGAGACTACTATATGGGGAATTATGTAATATCTAATTGACCCACTAATTAAAAAAAAAATACACAACTAGTTCTGCTTTAGAGTTGGTCATTGCTTTCACTGCATTTTTTTAGTCTTTTCAGTAACAAGATAAGGCATATTCTGAAAGTTTAGGGCATGTCTACAACAGCAGAACATTGGTTGGTGTTGCCTAATGCAAATGATAGACCTGTGTCATTGAAGCGGAGGGAAAATAATATAATCCTAATCCCTTCTTAATCTTCATCATAGTGAGCGTGGGGGTAGTGGCAGGCTGTGAAGATCAGGGAATGCCAGCTTTGTTCTATGCAGGGGTGTGGAAAGAAGATAAACTCAACATGCAGGTCCTCCAGCAAAGAATGCCTTTATGAAGACTCCGCACATTGCCCTTCACAGAACTTTTCTTAGGGAAAAGGTCCCATTCACTAAGATTTAAATGATCCAATTGTTTGAAGACGTTTTGGAATCATCCAAAATCCATTCACTTAAGTTCCTTGCTGGATCCCAGGTTAAACAAGAGCAATCTGGATTCTTAAAGATACTGTTAACTCAGTTGTCTTTTCATACCCTCTACGCTTCTAATAATGTAAGTGTGTTTTCATGGGTTACAGTTTTCAGATTTTCAGAAGTGCTGGACATTCACAATTCTGTAAACGCCTATTAAAATGTGTGCTACCCCTACCGTGCAAGCCTGCAACAGCACAATTTATTCACCTGGACAGAAGCAATTTCATATTTCATGGTGTTCAAAACCCTGATTTGACCTTGCGGGATTATGCAAATATTTAAGTTAGGCATGCATTTAAGTCCTTCTTTAAACCAAAACTGGTGAATGAATAGGACCAACACTTTCTATTAGGAGCTATAAATAATAAACAGTCAAAGCCACTAATAAAAAGTACCATGTGCTTTAAAAACAGGTTTGCACTTTTTTCTGTATGACAGCATATTGCGATGTTGTAAAGTGCTATAGTAATTCAGTGCTGAGCCATTTCAAAACCATTTATAAAGTTTGCGCTTTTTTTTTCCTGAAAAATTTCTTGCAGCCAGAAACTGTCAGTCACTGCATAGATGCTTTTTTGCTCTGTTGTTAAGCAAAAAAAATAGAGACATTTCTATATCAAAATTGAGAAAAATGAAGCCTTCCTGGACTACATTTATTTTTGGTGGAAAATACATTTGATGATAAAAGATTGCACAAGCCAAACTGTTCTTTTCAGCATGCTAAGTGCATTGGTGGAGGCAAAAGGCCATTCTTTGCTTCTCAGACATGGAATGGGCACAAACAGCTACAGCTGGACAAGGGCACATCTTAAATCATCTGGTTTGGTTGCTAATTTATTTTCATGCGGTGATCCGATATAAGCTTGATTACTACTACTCTTGTGCTATTTACCTATATTAAAAATGGAATAGTTTTTTTTATATTCTGCTAAAGAAGTGATCCAAATGCCATTTAGCACCACTGTGTGGTGAGTACTGTAATAGCTTCCTCTCTCTCTCAAAAA